CTTCTGCAAGCCTGCGCCAGGTACGAGAGTGGGCACTAGGGAGCACAGGCTGGAGAGGGGGCCAGTGGAGCAGAGGGCTTCTACAGGGCTTGAGGGTGGGCAAACACAGGGTGGGGTGGATGGAACAGCGTTTTCCATGGATGAGGGGACAAAGAGGAGGAGGAGGGCTTTGGCGTCAGAGAGTGGTTGGGCAGGCAGAGAACTTGCAGGGCCTGCAAGGAGGCAACAGAGACTGAGCGACTGGGAAGGAGGAGAAGGGGAGGGAGGGGGTCCACCTGCTCAGCATGGCCCTTGATTCCCCCCGCCCCAGCGGGCAGTAACCACTCCGTGGCTGAAGCGCTCCTCATCTTCCTGGAGGCTCTGCCAGAGCCAGTGATCTGCTATGAGCTGTACCAGCGGTGCCTCGACTGGTCACACAGCAGCCGGCTGTGCCGACAGGTACGCAGCTGACTCCGCTCGCCGGGCTCGGGGCACCTCTCCCCGCTCCGGTGAGCTCTGCCCTGGTCCTGGCCCTCACCAGGTCCCGCTCCCTCCCCGCGGGCACCGAGAGGCTTTGGGAGCAGACGCTCGGAGCTTCCTTGCGGCAGGCAGGACAGCCTGGGTGGTGCAGCAGTGCTTTCCTAGCCCAGGGTCAGCACTGCGGTGTTTGTCCTGGTGGCTTCCAGAAAGCCCCCCGAGTGTGCCCTGTGTCACCCTGGGCACAGGGGCAGCAGCCCTGGGAGCAGAGGAGCCACCCTTGGTCCCCAGGGTTTAAGTGCCTGCTCAGAGCTGCAGTTCCTGTGCTTCCCTTGAGGACCACGAGTGGCTCTCAAAAATAGCTGGTGGAGCAGCAAGCAAGGCTGAGCACGGCCTTGAGTGGAGGAAGAAGTTTTAGGACACGTTTTCAGTGCTGCAAACCTTTTGTGCTGCCTTCACGCTGCTGCCACACAGCCGGAGGGGTGAGAGCTGGGATCTGGTGGGAAGCATCCCAGGGGCAGGGCCCTGTTATCCTGCAGGCAGTGTTAGCAGGAGCCAAAGCCATCAGCACTGGGCCACAGCTGGTGGCTTGTTGCTCGCTTTCTGGGCCAGTGGTTGCCCATCAGCCTCAGGGCAGTGGGAGAGGGGGAGGGCTGCCCACCTGGGGTCTGGGGTGTCGCAGCGTGCCTGGGCTGCAGCGACGTGAGCTGGAAGCAGTCTCTGCTTATTTGCAGGTGATTCTTCAGCTGCCTCGTTGCCATCGCAGCGTGTTTCGGTACCTAATGTC